GAAGAGGAAGAGAAGAGAAGAGAAGAGAAGAGAAGAGAAGAGAAGAGAAGAGAAGAGAAGAGAAGAGAAGAGAAGAGAAGAGAAGAGAAGAGAAGAGAAGAGAAGAGAAGAGAAGAGAAGAGAGGAGAGGAGAGATCGACCGAGAGAAAGCGAGAACATGCAAACTGATGGGAGAGGGAGGAAATATATAGGGAGAGAAGGAGAAATGGCGAAGGAAGGAGAGAGAGAGAGAGAGAGAGAGAGACGAAGAGATGAGAGAGAGAGAGAGAGACGAAGAGATAGGGAAATTTATAATAAGGGAGAGATGTTATAGATATGGATTAAGGGACATTTAGAGGTGGCAGTAAGCACAGAGAGAGTGAGAGAGAGAGAGAGAGAGAGCGAGAAAGCAAGAAACATAAGAATCATGTGAAGAGTTAATGGAAGACAGGAAAAGGATGAGAAAATGAGAAAAATGGGGAGTAGGGAGAGAAAGGGAGAAGAAGGGAGACTGAGGAAGAGATGGAAAGAGCACAGACAGAGGGCAGACAGATAACGGGAGATGGATGGAGAGATAAAGAGAGAGGGAGAGATGCAGATCTTGATTCGTCACATCCCGGGCAATCTGGAAATGTTTGTCCGCTGTCGTTTTGATTTTCTCGTCATGACAGTTGCTCCCAGTTCTTCAATTATCGCCCTCATCAAAGCCACGTCTCGGGGATGACGAGCGAAACTTCGGTAGTCATCAATCCAGCACCCGTCCGCGTGGACCCCGATATGTCGGAAAACACATAGTACGGATGCTTTCATTTACAAACATGTGTGATTTATTTCTCTCCTATAGTATTTAGCACAAAATTATTTTATGATTCCAGGCAGACAATTGTTGGCGGTGCATTCTCACATGTTGCTCTAGATTCCATGGATGTTCTTTCTTAATTTTGACCTAAATATTCTTTTTATAATTGTGGTTTTAAATGCAGAATAAATGTCATCCTTGTAAACAGGATTGACAGATTTTTCAGATTTTTTTAATTTAAATATAACTTATTTACAAAGTCAGAATTATTTATGATGCTAACATATGGATTGCAAGGTTAAATCTAAATGAATGTCTGTTTGGATGAGCTCCATTTTAAAATTTACAATTTTTAAAGGTCTAGACTTAGATTTTGGAAGCCCACGCATACCAGGTGTCTGTTATTGTCAAACCCTGCATATTACCTAGACACATCTTGTTTCGGAGAAGGGGGGGGGGGGGGGGGGGATAAAGTGAGAGAGGGAGAGAAAGAGAAAGAGAAAGACAGATAGAGACAGATAGAGAGAAGATGGGAAAAAACACAGAATAGATTCAATTATTTTGTAACAGAAAGAAAAAAAGAAGAGTGCAGACAGAGAAAGAAACGAGGTGAAAGTAGGAAAGAGGCCAGGGTGGGGTCAACGGAGAGCAAAATCTGAACAGTGAGAAAATGGGTAAATGTGTCTGAATGTGTTTCTGTTTTTGTGCTGAGGTAATTACCGAACGAGGAGGATTGCGTGCCAATGTCTACATGTTTTACTCATTTAGTCCGGGCTTCACTCGGACGGTCTGGGTAGTCATCATCGCGCTGACAAAACATCTTGAGATTGTTTTGCGGGGAGCGTCTTGTCTTAATTCTGGCGAGGACTGATTTGGGGGGTTCTTTCCTGCTTTGTTTTTTCTTCCATAAGTTGTTATGCAGCCATTAAAACAGTCCAGTAAACAGTTCAGTAAACAGTTCAGTGATCCATTCTTTAAGAAATAAGTAATAAGTAGTGAAATATCACGTACACTAAATATTTCTTGAGATTGTTTTGAAGTAACGTCTTGTCTTGTCTTACTTTTGGCAGGGACTGATTTTGGTTTTTTTTTTTTTTTTTCCTCCTAATGAAACAGTGAAAAGTAAAAAGATATTGTTTTTTTTCTTCACCGAGACAATACAAGTCTCAAATTTACTACATCTATTATATAATAAGAGGTCGGCTCCAAGGATTTTCTTGTTGCATTGATTTTACAAGACGCAGTCTATAAAACTTATCAACAAATTTATTTATAGGCCCTGCATTATTTTATCAAGTGAGGGACAAATTTGTCATGATCTGTTTACTCTTGGTAATCTACAAGTAATAAGTCTAGAGTTAATTTCTCAAATCCATTCAGTTGTAATTTTCCTGTGGCTTTAAAGGACAAGTCCACTCGAAAAATAAGTTACTTTCAATAAAAGCAGAAAAATCAGACAAACCAATCAAAAAAAGTTTGAGCAAAATCGGATAACTAATAAGAAAGTTATGAATTTTTGAATAAGTATGTAAAACTATGGAACAATGAGATTCACAACACACATTGCCAAGATGGTTATCAGTTTGTGACGTCGTGTCCTCACAACTTATTGATTGCTTTATATAGTTTAATCCCATTAATTTTCCTTCTAATCCCCCAAAACTTGATTTCCCCATGCCACTGCCCAGGTTATATGATTTGTATCATATTGCGTGCATGAAATTTCCCAAAAACTTTTATGAATTTTGAAGAATTGATTATATTTTCTTAATATTGTATTTCATAATTATTGATTTTTATATAAATAGTTTTATCAAAATTCAATTTCTCATGATTTAACTGGACGTAAATTACTCTTTATTTGTGCATCCACACATAAAAATATTACTAACAAAACAATCTAACTTGGATGCTGGTGATGAATCTTATTTCTTCACGGTGAAGAAATAAGATTCTAAGGGTGAAAATAGGAAATTTATATTAACAATATAAAGAAAATAATTAGTGGATAGTGAGGACCATACGTCACAGACTCATGAGTGAGTTGCCAATTTGTTTAGTGATTTTCAAAGTTTTTCATGTCATTAAAAATTCACAACTTTCTTATTAGTTATCCGATTTTGCTCAAACTTTTTTCGATTGGTTTGTCTGATTTTTCTGGTTCTATTGAAAGTAAGTCATTTTTGAGTGGACTTGGGCTTTAAGATCTTTTTCCAGTTTCCAATAGTAAGAGTAACTTTTGTGGTCAGGTGAGGCATTAGTGTGGTTTGAAGGAGATGAAGTATGTCTATACATGTATGACTCATATTTTCCACCTGTGTTTTTCTGTCTCCATCTCTGAGTTCATCTCTCTTCCTTCCTTCCCCCCTCTCTCTCTGTGACTCTGTTGCTCTTTCCTCTCCCTAGCTTCCTCTTCTTCTCCCTCTTTTCCCCTACTCCCTCTCTCTCTCCCCCTCCCTCTTCCTCCCTCCCTCTTCTTCCCTCCCTCCCTCTCTCTCCCTCCCTCTCTCCCCTCCCTCTTCCTCCCTCCCTCTTCTTCCCTCCCTCCCTCTCTCTCCCTCCCTCTCTCCCCTCCCTCCCTCTTCTTCCCTCCCTCCCTCTCTCTCCCTCTCTCTCTGTCCCTCCCTCTTTCTCCCTCCCTATACCTCCCTCCCTCCCTCTTCCTCACTGCCACCCCTACTTCCATCTTCCTTCAATTTCCCTCCTTCTCTCTTTCTCTCCTCCTCTCTTTCTCTCTCCCTCTCTCTCTCTCTCCCTCTCTCTTTCTCTTTCTCTCTCTCTCTCTCTCTCTCTCTCTCTCTCTCTCTCTCTCTCTCTCATATCTATTCTCTTCAAATTAAAAGTACTATATATAGATTTCCATTCAAACAGGATTATAACTTGTTGTTTACTTCACAAAGCTTGACCTGTATGTGATACCCATTTCCTTTTGAGAATAGAAATCTCACCTTTTCTTTTCCCATTTTAATACTTCTTTCATGATACAACTTTCTGTCAAAATACAATTGAGTTGTGCGACATATCTTTTGGTCCATAAACTTTAGTTGGCCAAATATAATGCTTTACATTTTATGTGTGACACAGACTGTACACATCGACATTTTGATTGGTTTCAAAGGGCATTTAAAAGTCTGAAGATGACTATTTTTGTGCAGGGATCTATCAACATTAGCCTAGATATTCCATGTTTACTTTAATATTGCTGTGATTTTTCGGGATGACAATTTTTGTTTCTCTCTTAAAATAATATTGGGATATATTTGTTTGAAAAGCAAAGACACAAAACTTGTTGAAAAGTGAAATAAAAACTCCCATCATGTAGCATTCCCATAGCAGTTGCATTTCCAATGCTTACATGTAAGACTGTATGTTTAGATCTGCCTTCCTATAATCAATTATTTCCAAAAAACTCATAAATGGGTACAACAATGCAGACAAAAGTGCTGAATAAAAACTTGTGTTCAGAGTTTTCAACTACAAGCTGCATGCATGAGCTCGCAGTATTGATTCTACAGGATGGTTAATTCTGGACGCCACATAACTACAATTTTAGACCCAGCCCCCTGGCTTATTGTTATGAAACAAGATACCTTGTGTCTGTAATATAACATTTTCAAAATTCAAGTTTTGCTATACCCTGAGCGTGTCCCTGTCTTTATCTACAAGATAACCTAAAATATTAAAAACATGATTCCAAATTAAAAGTTAACAAACCTGGGCCCTGTTTCATAAAACTTGTTATTTAAAATAACAAGCAAATTTGTCATAGAAATTTAGCATTTGTTATTGATAACATGTTTTGTGAAACAGGGCCCAGACTAACTTTTATTGACAGCCTTGCCCTAGCTTCTTGCCATGTACCCTTCCTCTTTATCAATGTCTTTTTTATTGTGAACAAACACTTGACTTTATCCTGTCCTTTCTTAAAGGGATCCGGTAACTTTGTCTCAGATCCTTAAACAAAATCCTTGATTTAATTAGCTCTTGCCAGGAATACCATGACTTTTACAAGGCCGATTGCCTGTCTGATTATCAAGATATTTATGATTGAACATTGAAATTTCATTTTTGTTTTCCTAACGGTTTTCATAACACTACAGTCTATTAGGGAAAACGAGTATGGTAAAACCGGTCACTCAAAGATTTTTACTTTTTTGAGGAACTTCATAATCATTTTGAAGTGCAATTTGTTTAGGGATTCAATATTACACCATATCACAGACACTGATAACACGTAGGGCCGTGTATCTCAGATTTAACATTGTTAATACTTGATGCCTTTAAGTTCGTTCCGTGCAGACAGACAATGTCCTATCTGATAACCAAATTCCTTGTTCAGTCAAGAAGGTGAACTTCGATCACTCCGTTTCTTATCTTTGCATTTTTGTTCTACTTCTGTTTACCCTCCAGATACACGTGACAAAGATCTCTTCCAGTCAGGCTCCTCCAACGGCCTAGCTCGCTTCCTTACTTGCGCCTCCTCCTCCTCTTCAAAGTCTCCATCCTTGGCTGTTACCGATGGCAACGGGCAGAAGCCAGACGATGCTATCCTCCTGGAAGAAGAGGCTCATATGTACATGCAGGTGAGCTCACTAAGATTTTTTATTTTTTTTTATTTTCTTGTCCTCCTCCAACGACTTCCTATTATTTTCCTCCTCTGCAATATTAAAGGGACTTGGTAACATTGTTCAGATGGGAGAAAATGGTGCTAAGGTAGTGACTTCAATGCTAGATGTACAATTAACGATAATTTGAAAATTCAAAAATGGTTGGGAGAATTTACTGTTAGAGGGTGTCGACCAGTGACGCCTTCAAAGCAAACCATAAATATCTTTGTGGCTTGAGAATTTTTTCAGGATTTTTTGCATGCTAGAGGGTTATAGTACAAAAGGACGAATATGACATTTAACATTTCATACAAAAATTACACAGTTTTTCTATCAACCTTCAATGTTACCGAGTCACTTTAATAATTATTAATAAAAGATGATACTGATTTAAAGTGTTATTTCTGTCTTTAATATGCATGCATGTAGATGAAAAAAAAAAAAAAAAAATACAATGTTATCTGATGAGAGCCTTTGGGATGTTGATCTGTACTTACATGTACACTTCTTAATATTGAATCAGCACCAGTAAGATTGTCAGTTCATATCTTCTGTTGAGGGCAAGAAGGGCATGGGCCTTCTGTTTGGAGGCCCAGAAAAAGAGAGTCATTATTACTCAGAGGTGTTGTGGTCCAGTGGATAAATCTTCGGACTATACAAACCACAAGGTGTGGGGTTCAAATCCCTGTCGCAATACTGATGTCTTTTGGCAAGACATCAATCTACAATTGTCACACTCCACCTAGGTGAAGTAAATTATGGGTACCTGGCAGGAATAAATTCCTTAAAATGCTAGAGCGCTGTAACGGCAGCCAGGATAATAATAATGGAACATCAGGAGTGGCATTGTACCAGATATGAGTGCTATACAAGACTCTACTATTTCTTATTATTGATTGATTGTTAATATTGATTTGGAACTGCTTTTGTAAGTTTAAGTTTAACAAAAAAGTAATTACATGTATACTGCACTACTAATTGTTGGAACTTACATCTATATATAAATTTGTTTTCTTTCTAATGTTGATGTATCTGTAAAGGCATTTATTTGATACAGTATTGCAGGCTAGAACATTTAAATATGAGAGGCATGCACTTCTCTACAGTTTCTGCAGTTATCTTAATCCCTTCTTTTTTTTTTTTTTTTGGGGGGGGGGGGGGGGTCTCTGTTGGTTTTTACATGTAACCCTAGGGCTCTCAATGGGTTCTACATTTTCTTTCAGAACAGTGGCCAGATCTTCTATTCTTCACATTCAGAGATACCCTGATAATTAAGTCCACCCCTTCATCATTTTGAATATGCCAATGATAACTTTATACAAAGCCACTCTACAACTTCCACTATCTGTAAGACATCTTTTGTATCTTGTTCTTTATATCTAAGGCTCTCAATGGATTCATCATTGTCATCCAGAGTGACGGACAGATCTTCTACGCTTCACCGTCCGTTCAGGAGTACCTTGGTTTCCAGGACGTAAGTCTTTCTAAAAAGGCCACTAGCTGCACGCCCTTCAACCTCACAGGGCCCTGTTTCATAAACTTGTTATCCATGGAAAATGCTAAATTTCGATGACAAATGCCAATCAACTATAACAGTCATTGTAACTTGTTGGTGATTTAACACGTTTTATGAAACAGGGCCCACGTTGTGACTAGACTTTCCAAATAGGGACAAGAATTTAGAAGTCAATATATATTATATGTGTTGTCAATGGCTTTGAGAAATGGGTTTTCGATCCTTCTACTCAATGAGTCATTTGCCGTCAAAAGCCCTACCGAATCATTCACACTTCTTGAGGTATTTTGTTAAATAATTCATCACTTGGAAAAAAGATTTGTCAGAATACATTAAATCCATTTGGTGCTACATTTCAATGGTATATTTTTTGCAGTCGGAGGGAGCTATTTTAACGCTTGAATCATTACCAGTTTTCCGACAGAATGATCATGATCGTTGGTGAAATAATTATTCTTGATTTGGGTCATGCCAATCACATAGCATCACATCACGCTATGATGATCAAGAAATCATTTAGGTTGAACGACACTTGGTCCGACAATGATTACACTTTATTCAGACAATATTCTACACTAACTAAATGATAGTAAAAAATAATTATACATGAGATCTGTAAGGCGCCGAATCCACTTGATATTAAATGCTCAAGACGCACTTGTGGAAAGAAAAAAAAAAGGAGATCACATAAAAACATCTACATTTACAATTTTGAAGGTTAAATGCTTAACCTCGATCCAGTATTGTATTTCAGCCTTAAAAGTGAACTTGAGATATTAATTGGGGTACGGGAAGTGCTACTATGTCCTTGCCGTTTGTCTTGTAGTTTTTCTTCTACATCATTCCTTTTTTCCATGTTCTTCCTGTTGTTGCAAAGTTTGGTAGATTTTAATACATTAAAGCCCAACATAGTTTTTGTCATGGTTGTTTTATTCAGTACAGGGCTGACAACATGCTCTGAACTAACCCACATTATTTTGTATGACAAAATTCTAGCAATACACTAAAATGACAAAAGTTGCCAATTTTCAAGAAGGCTCAGGGATCAATACACCCCTTAAATCACTTTTGTCCTGCATGTTCCCTTCACTCCACAGGCTGACATAATATGCCCCAATTCTCTGAACTAATTAACCCATCTGATTTTTCTTTCAAAATTGTAGCAATGCACTAAATATGTTGCCAATTTCAAGAAGACTAAGTGATCGATATATCCTTACATCACTTTTAATTGTCTTGCATATTCCATTTACTCCTCAGGCTGACATCATGCACCAGAATGTCTTTGAGCTGATCCACAAGGAAGATCGGGAGGACTTTCAGAAGCAGCTTCTGCTTGCCTCACCCACGACCTGCTCCCAGGAGGTGACCCAGAGGAGCATCACCAACGGCAACGGTACCAACGATGGCCACGGCATACAACCTGACACCAATGGTAATGATGAGGATGATAACGATGATGATAGTTGATGGTGATAGAGATCGAGAGGACTTCATGAAGCACCTCCTAGCTAGAATTCTTCAAAACTTTAACATTTCACTACTACTCTTTGCTACAAAAAATAATTCTTAAAATGATATGAAAAATATATGAGTGGTCTAGTATCCAAGAAAACCCAGTTGATGCAGTGATGTACGTTTGAAAGGCATTAATCCTTCACTAATTATAATAATCACTAGCAGGACCCGCGGAAATCCGCGGGATTCTAGAGGGGGGCGGGGGGTGTAAATAGATATATAGAGACTGCCTAAATTAAAACCACCAAGAACTTTATTTGCCATTCAGGCCATTATAAAAATATACATGTTTAGCGTCCCCACCCGCTTCCTTTTTGGGGGCCGCCTCCTATTTTTTTTTTTTGAAATTTTTTTGAATTTTTTTTGAATTTTTTTTTTTTTTTTTTGAAAGAAAAAAAAACAGCGTCCCCGCCTGCTTCCTTTTTGGGGGCCGCCTCCTATTTTTATTTTTTATTTTTTTTTTTTCATTTTTATTTTTTTATTTTTGAAAGAAAAAAAACATGAAAAGCACTGCTAAAATGTATTTCTGATTTTAAAAAAGAAAAAAAAAAATTGTCGGCCGCCATCTTGAAAAAAAGCCCGAATGTCAGGGAAAATGTTCGGAGCGGCCATTTTGAAAGAAGAAAAAAAAAAAAAAGGGCCTCCTCATTCCCATTTTTCGAAAAAAACAGGACGCTAAACATGTTTTTTTTTTTATTTGGCCTTATATAAAAATTCAAAAAACGATCCAACTGTACCGGTAGTTATTCTTCAAGCCACTGGAACTGCGTAGAGTTCCGTAGTGTGGCGTACCGACTACGCAGAAATTAGGCTACGTATTAATGAGAAAATAGTCCCTGCGTAGGTTATGCGTAGGCTGGCGTACAGGTTTGCTTATGGTTGCTTACCGTGTGGAAAGCTTTTACTGCTTTGTCGATCTGGCGTAGGATAGCATACTGTTGCGTAGGCATGTAGCGTAGTGTTGCGTATGTAAAAAGGCGTACTTTCTACGTCAAGTTTCTACGCCGAAAGTACGCGAAAAAAATTAAACATGTTGAATTGTTTTCGATCATCTTGCGTACCCAGTTCCGTCCCTCAGCATATAGTAATGTAGGCCAGCGTAGTTGGTACGCAACACTATGCAACTCTCGTATTGACCCCACGCCAATTAGTGACCCGCAGGTGTCACAAATAAAGTATTAAAAATATGCTCATATGACCCTAATTAAACGCCTAAAAACCCAGAGCTTTCGGGGGTTTATGGACCCTTGAAACCCGTGGACCCCACGCCTATACACTCAACTCGCTGCAATCTGATCTCTCCCCCCCCCCCACCAACTTTGAAGAACGTAACCCCTGAGCTTTTTGGGGTTTATGGCCCCTTGAAACCCGGGGACCCCACGCCTATATTATATATACACTCAACTCAGGACCCGCGGAAATCGCGGGATTCTAGAGGGGGGCGCAGGCAGAAAATTAAGATTTTCATTTCGGGGGCTCTATTTCAAATTTTTGGAAAAATTTTCGTGGGCTACTTTTTTCAACTTTCGGGGGCTCTTTTTTCTGGGGCTACTTTTTCATTAATTCATCAAAGGATATAGGCCTTCACTTTGTTGAGATTTGTTTAGAAGGGTCAGGTTTCAGGCTACCTACTTCATATATTGCCTATTTAAAAAAAAAAAAAAATTCTAGTTCAATAACTAAGTTTTCATGCATTGATTTGATGCAAGAACTGTAACATAATAGACCCTAGATTGTGATTATTTCTGACCATGAATTTCGATAATCATTCTTCAAAGTAAAATTTTCACAAGAAAATCAGGTAGTCGTTTAAAAACGTAGACATGAGTAATACTTTTACTAATTCTAAGCTCAGGTTTCGTAAATCTATTCACGAAACTATATTGAAATCGCGGCAATAATGATGCAAACCAACAGATAACAATTTCAAAGTGTCAAATCTCTTCGACTCGAGCTCAGCTCAGCTTAACTCACACACACTACAGCGTAACTCCATAGCTCGAACACCGGCGCCGCAGGCGTCGGACGCCTGCGGTGCTCGGTGCCGGTGTTGGAGCTTCCTGCAAGCTCGTCTCAACTCACACACACTGAACAGAAGCCCTGCACTGTATGAAGGCAGCTTGCGACTAAACTGTCAGTCCAATGGTTTTCTTGTGAAAACTTTCCTTTAGAAAATGATAATAAAAATTTAGTATAGGTCTAGACTATATGGCCGTAGTAATCACAAAATAAGCTTTGATTTCATACCTCCATTCACGAAAACTATATCAAAATCGCGGCAATCATGATGGAAATAGGTCTCTAAGTTTGGACGTGGACGGGAAGCTTCGTGTGTATCTCTGTGGCTCGTGCAGCTACTATACAATGGATATCCTATAGAAAGATGCTTTACTCGGGTAAGCCCGACCCTGTGCGTCGTGCATTTAATACGCAACTTAATGTGAGTGGACGGTCATCGGTCGTGTGTCTACGGATGTCATGTTGAATATCCATGAGGTATCTCTGTCGTCACGCATATCCTGCATTATGCATGTCGCGTCTGTTTTCGCCCTGGACGTCGACACGGAGGAGGACCTCGGGCGGAGTATAGCCAATTCGCTAGAGTAGACTCTCCCGCGGACGACGGCACCGGGCACGGGTACCCCGAGGGCAGGGTTCAGGAGGAGATAGCCGCACCAACTTGGGTCGGCGATCTCATTAAAAAACAATAGAATACAAAGGCTGGCGGAGACGTCATGCCCCCCCGCGGAGCCTTAGCGTATTACTATTATAGATAGGACCAGGACGATGACCTGTAGGTCCCCGGTCACTATACTCACAAGCATGTACATTGTTCTGCTTTCTAAACATTCAGGTACCGGTAAACAAAAAACGTCACATAAGTGTTGTTTTAAGAACATTAGAATGAATACAGGTCAATGAGTGACCCTGTTATCCGGAATATATAGTTCAACTACTTTCCTGGAGAAAAGAGTCGGAATTTCGGATTGTAAAACAATTCAAAGGAAACGAAAGGTACACGTCTGTAGGAAGGAAGGAGAGAAGGGATAAAGAGATAGAAGGATAGATATAAAGAAGAAAGATGGAGAGGAAGGGGGAGGGAGAGGAGAGACAGAAAGGAAAATGTTTGTGAAAGGAGAATTGTTGCTAGGTATAGGACAAACATTATGCCTAATTACCTACCTAACAATACGTCATACACTTAAAGATTTGTGCATTAAATTTGATTACATTTCAAAAATGGCCTATTGACAGTGATAATGAGGGGGAGGGGGAGGTAAAGGGAAAATGATGTACAGAGAGAGAGAGAGAAAGAGAGAGAGAGAGAAAGAAAGAGAGAGAAAGAGAAAGAGAGAAAGAGAAAGAGAAAGAGAAAGAGAAAGAGAAATAGAAAGAGAAAGAGAAAGAGAAAGAGAATAAGGTGGGAGATAGAAAGATAGAAAGAGAAAGAGAGACAGAGACAGAGAGAGAGAGAGAGAGAGAGATTGAAAAGTAGCATGAGAGAGCTAACAACACCAACACGTAGACGTAAAACGGAACAGCAGCATGACCTTAATCCCAACGATCGCTGTGCACTTCATAAAGCACGGAGGCTTTCTGCAAATGAGCTGTAAACTCATTTAAGGGCTGAGCCTATGAGCCACCAAGGGCTTAGAAAGTCGCGTCATTAAATCACATGTTACATGAAACATCTTGTCAAATGAGGAGTATCGCGCGGCTGGCACGGATGAAGGGTTTTCCTTGTTAAATCGATCACTGTACCTTATGTTCATAGACTGACATTTTGGGGCACATGATGGCTGTATTATGCAGCGAGGCTTGGCTTTATGTACCGTACGTGGTGATCAATTTGGGTTTAAATTTATTTCGTTTTGGTCTACCATGTCTGCTGAGGGGTAAACTAATTTAGAAACAAATGGAACAAACAAGAAGAAAAGCAATACAGTCATCTTTAAATAATTAGAGATCAATTGTTAAAAATACAAATATGATAACCTAAAAAAATGAATTAAGGAGGAATTTTCTATTTGAGCAAGAGCTATATGTGTATTAGCTGAAGTAAAAAGAAAAGAAAAGAGGGACAGGAGTAATAATCAGTGTGCACTTGATTAGAATTTAACCTTCTTTTCTTTTTTAGAATCTTTTCTATAGGTTAATTCTCTCTGATCATGGGCACAGATATTATAAATGGTGTGACTTTTCAACACAAAAAGACAAAAATCTCAACTCTTTTGTTACATCAATTAATTCGAAACACAAAGGCCACGTTAAACACAGTGATATGATTGTAACACGAAAGACACATGTCTTATAATTAAGATGCCTTCCAGATTTTGGGAGAAATTATTTCATTAGGAACGTTATTAACGCACATATTAGAAGGCACGGCCTACCTGGCTATTGGACTATGCAGGGTAATTTTTTGCCTGAGAAATTGTATTTTCATGGGCCTTTCTTGTTCTCGTTATTAGCGTGGTGTTTTTGACATCACTTTAACGAGCGACATCTGCACGTCTCATCATACGAGAAGATGTTTGCTTCATTAGTGCCTGAAGGAGCTAGTATAATATACAGGGTTAACTTGAGTGGCTTAAGGAAAAGTGCATCCTATGAAAAGAAGTGAATGAGTCTAGATTAATTACGGGATTGTATGCAAGCTTGGAAATGTTTTAATTGTAGTATTGATTAGGTATCATTTCCATTTTCCCAATTTATTTCGGAAAGAGGGAAAGGGAAACTTACCGTTATACTGACATTATTGAGTGTGCCAAATATTTTTCTTATTTTTGAAGAGTAAAAACATGTAATATTCAATATTCTGTGATCAAACTTTTCATAATGCATGTTCTGAGTTTTTATGGTGCATGAAGCCACATTTAATCATTTAATAGCAGTATTGCATATCTGTGGCTAAAGGGACATACATGTATAATCTACATGTACATGAAATGAAATATTAGACTATCATCAAAATATTTCTGAAAATATTTTGATTAGCTTTTTTATCTTGCCTATTTTTATCTTCTTTTATGCCCTTCTGTGTCCTATTTATACATTGTTTGTCAGCTCAGGTAAATAATATCTTGGAAAGTTAATTATGAAAAAGTGGCTTCACCCTTTAGTCTTGTTCAGATTTGAAGTGGTAATTAACCCACGGCATTATTTTTGTTTTTTTGGGATGACGTAAGATTCATAGGCTTAACATTTCTTTATCTTATAACACAGGGCTCAGTGAATTCATACAAGACCTTTGTTGTTCACAGTTGCCTTTCATTTACATGCTTAAAATATCTGAACAAACTTTTATGGTTTCTATACAAATAGCAAATTATAGAGATGTATCAGATCAATGAAAGTTTGAGGAAAATACAAGCTGAAATAAGAAAGTTATGGCATTATTTTTTTTTTTTTGTGATAACATAAGTTTCATATGTTGACATGTCTTCATCCTATAACTCAGAGCTCAGTGAATACACACAAGTTGCCATACATTTACATGCTTAAAATATCTCAACAACCTTTTATGGTTTCAGTAAAAGCAGGAAATTAGAGATGTAGAGATCAGTGAAAGTTTGAGGAAAATCCAAGAGGAAATAAGAAAAGTTACAAGTTTTTAAACTTGTAATCGATCAAACATAAATGGGAAAATCTTTTGTGCATTTTTCGAGCAACTCTCTTTTATTTACTTTATACTAAAATGTTTGTAAATTTCCATCTTCTTTTTGGTTGATGTAAGGATAAGCACATATTTGCAATAATGGCATTTAGGGTACATAAGTAAATATGAGAGCAGAATGTTTTTTAATGAAAATTTATATCATATTGCACTGACAGTGCATGAAATAATGAATCTGGCACCGAATCTGAATCTTTTGTTTTGTTATTTTTACTTACCCATCAATTTTCCACATTCTGTTCATTTCTGCAGACGCTGAGTCTTCACTGGACCGGAATTTCACCAGTCGTCTCAGGTGCTTGCTGGACGAATCCTCTGGGTTTCTGGTAAATATATTCACAGCAAATTGGTCACTCCTCGGTCACCCTTAACCCTCCATTTGCCATCAGTGCTCAAGGGCACGGTAGCCTGTTTGCCATACATGCAGATCAGCACAAAACAATGGTCACCGATGACGGAAGGATTGCTTTGTGCAGCACAATGGCTTTGTAAAATGGCTAATTTCTGTTCTTGATGAGCTCCGTGACAAACCTTTTAAATCCTGTCTGCACTAGTTTGGCCAGGAGGGATTAGACCTCCCTGCAAGGTCACCAACAGGTGTTTATCTCATCAAATCAGCGCTCAACTAACATAAGAAAAGGGGGATTAATGGTCACAGATTAGGCGTTGTTTGCTATATAGATGGAGCAAGTAGCTATAAGTACTGCACTGGGGCTTTAACACTTGTATCTTGCTCTGGAAACAGTTATTTTCTAGAAGCTTTTGGTACATGTATATCTATAGTATGATAAATATGTAGCAAAGGGAAAATATTTGTGTGGCAGATTAAGAGTTAGTTTCTCAGTCACACGGATGACACAGATGCCTGACCACTGACACACCAAACAAGATTTTACATAATGAAAAATGGCTAAGAATCAGCTGGTGTAAAGTCAGTGTGGAGTTAGTTTGCAAGTTTAACTGACGTATACCTAACAAGGAATCACATTTACTTCACCTGGATAGAGAGTGGCAAATGTAGGTCAATGTCTTGCCAAAGGACATTAGAATTCCGGCGGGACTCAAACTGTCTCCACTACCTCTACAAACTCCTACAAAGCTCCTCACCTCTACAAACACATTTGATGGAGTTGTTTTCTTGCCAATTTTCATCTACCAAAAAAATCAACTATGGAAACATGGAACTGTGGAATAATTTCTATGTCAGTTGTACTTTTATTTTGGTGCATGACCAACAAATTGAACTAAACTAAACTAAAACTAAATTTATACCTTATACTCAAATCATGTTACCTCATTTCTCTCTTGCTTGTTTCCTATGTTCAGAGCCTACAGTTCAGTGGGCGCCTGCGTATGCTGAATGGCCAGCGGACCAGGGGCAAGGATGGCATCCCCATTGACGTGGACCCACCAGAGATGGCGCTCTTTGCTCTCGCCAGTCCCCTTCAGCAGCCGACCATCCTGGAGATCTACGTGCGCAACATGATCTTCAGGACCAAACACAAGCTCGACTTCAAGACTGTCAATCTGGATACAAAGTAAGTATGGGTACAGCATGGCATCATGATCTGGGGGGGTATTTCACAAAGATACTAAGTTGAACTTAACTCTAAGTTGGACTTAAAATTTATGGAGAGCCATTTGTAGCCTTAAAATAAAATATATTAAAAAGCAAAAATTCAAGTATATTAGACTTTTTATAAATTCCCCATGAAGAACATGGAATCTCCCATGATAATAGAAAATATGAACAATTTGAATCAACGTTTTATGCCTTTTAGAATAACTTTTAACAAAATATTTTCAAAGACGCTAACGGCTTTCCATATTTGTTAAGTCCAACTTAGAGATAACTTCAACTTAGGATCTTTGTGAAACACCCCCCAGGCTAAACTAGGCCCTAGGACATGCTCGGCATTACACGGTAATGAGCTTTGAAATGTTGAAACACCACCTACCGGTATATACCGGGCCTCTAAGAAGCCATGAATTTCATGTTTTAAAATGAATTAAAATTGAAACGGGAGACTGTAACAACAGGATTACGTTTACGACTTGTCACATTTTGTTTGGCTAAACAAATGCCTTAAAGATAAAGACCAGTTATGGTCATGCGATTGCATTGTGAAAAAAACGTTGTGGAATTGATCAGAAAAGGTTGATCATCTAGCATATAAGTATTGGTGTGTACTGCAAGGTTCTGGAATCATCAAAATGATAAGAAATTTGGCCCAGTCTTGGTAAAGTTACAAGCACTGTACACAGAAAGATGTATATGGGGCTACGCACACGTGCGCGACACGTGCGTTTATCTCTCACAAGCCAATAGATAAACTAATTTACGAAATATATCAATTAGTAGGCAGTTTCCCGGCAAAATTTGTATGATCATGTATTGGTCAAAACATATTCTTTCACATGATTGGTATATAAGAGCTTCCATTTCATTTTTTGAAATTGGGGCGTTTCCAATACTGGTCTTTACCTTTAACTTGTATTCAGATCATATTTGATCATGTTTAGTAAGCCGACTTTACAGTAAAATACTCACTGATAATCATTGACACCACATTGTCAATCCAAAATAACGCGTAGCATTAAATGCACCTTGCAAAGTGGATATGTGCGCTATATAAATATCCAATATTATTAGTATTATAATTGAATTGAGTATCTATTTAAAATTGTTTGTTCTCTTTATCTCTCTCCAAATAAATTTAATCTCTACTAGGGGCTCTGAAGTTCTTGGCTACACCGACATGGAGTTCAAATCATTGCCTGGATACCAGTATGTTCACTACGAAGACATCATCTACTGCTCTGAGATGCACAGCTCATGTAAGTGTAACTGGGGGGTGTTTCACAAAGATCTTAAGTTAAACTTATCTCTAAGTTGGACTTAACAATTATGGAAAGCCGTTGGCATCTATGAAAATATTTTGTAAAAGATATTTTAAAAGGCATAAAATGTTGATTCAAATCCTTCATATTTTCTATTATCATGGGATATTTCATGTCCTTGATTTGGATTTTATGAAAGTCTAAAATACTTAAATTTTTGCTTTTGAATATATTTTATTTTAAGGCTACAAATGGCTCTCCATACTGTTTAAGTCTTACTTAGAGTTAAGTTCGATTTAGGATCTTTGTGAAACACCCCCTAGGTCTTTAAGCAAATTATTTTATTCACCTAGTAAGAATAATTGTATTTCAAAAGTCAGAATGCATACTGCATATTTTATGTGTTGTTAGGTAAAGCAAGCAATAATGTTTGCCCCACCTAGCAACAAACTGTGTATGCAATTTGCATTCTGACTATTTAGATACAATTATTTGTAACAGGTGAAAGAAATAATTTGTATTTCACAAGAGACGTATGCATTAAATTTGGTTACATTACGAAAATGGCTAATTGCTCAGGTCTGTATCGATTTCCTCAAAGAGTTTGTGTGTTCAGATGGCAATTTGGGATATGAGGTTTGAGGAAGGGTTCGGATTTTGGTTAGGTATATTGTTCAGTTTATGGTTTGGTGTAGGGTTAAAGGCAGGCTTTACTACGTCAGCCAGAAGGGCTTAGACCGCCCAGCGAGCCAGCGAGGTCACTGTGACAGGTGGCTATCTCATTAACTCAGCTCTCATTTAACAAAAGAAAAAGAGGATCATGGGGGACCAACAGGCACCGATTGGGGAAGTTTTCTATATAGAGGGAGCAAGTAGCTACAAGTAGGACAGTGTGCCTTTAATACAATGAAACCTGTATATAAAGATCACTCAAGGGAAACGTGAAAGTGGTCTTTATAGGCACATGGACTTTCTGCACAGGTTTTTGATGAAACATGAATACAAACACACACACACACACACACAAATTAATGCCAATTATAGGGTGTCAAGTGTAACACTTGATGCATGATTCTTATTTTGAAATCAATGATTCTGGAGCATAACCGATCTGACCAATTGCTTTTTGGGACAAAATTGGTGCCAAGACTGGTTTCGACCATGAAATGAACTGGTCAGATCGATCTTGTTACAGCATTATCAAGGATTTTGTTACAGATCGCAAGTGTTGCACTTGGTGCCCCATAGACATACATGTAGTACTTGTACATCTACTTGTACATGGCGACTTGCCAAAAATTCGATTAATATCTAACAGGTGGATTTGTCTTCTAAGTCGGTTGTCAGTTTCCAGTTCTTGTATAAGGAAGGTGTGTCACGACAAGGTGTTTTTATATAATCAAATTTTCCTTCACAGCACAACAGTATTAAAGCAACACAAATAATGAAATACCTGTGACAATGACGGTCATGGATTAAAAAAAATCAAAATGTCTCCTTCACAAGCCCGTATTCTCCTCACTCGCTTAATTAACATTTATGAATATGTACATTTATGTACATTCATTTGTTGGTAACAAATAGCCTTTTCTTGTGTGTGCAATGGTATAGTTATACACTTTATTGTTTTGACCTGGAAAAGGAATATACAACTATGGGCCTTTACATTTTCTAATCAACTCAATTATGTGTAGTCTCAAGTGTTTTGGGCAACAAGAAAGCTGTACCAAAAAGGGGACTTCTGTAAAAAAATATTGTAATCATTTTGTACTTGTCATCATGGTCAGGAACACATATAAACAAAAAATTGTTTACCAGGTAGTTATTTTGGTGATAAGACATGTAGTTGTAGCATTTCTCATGCTAGCAGGCAATATGGATTGGTGTCCTTTTCCTAAATGACTAATCGATACAGAAATTTATATGACCAGTACTTGCTGGATCCCTCCATACAAGGTCAACCAGTGCAATCTTGTTGACCTAGACTGCCTCATTATGTCAAGTTTATGGTGACCTGGGCCCCATTTCACAAAACTTGTCATCAGTGACAAAACTATGCATACGCTGGTTCTCACAGCCAGCCGCTAGCCACGTTCGCACAGCCAGAGTAAAAAAAAAACGTATTTTGGCACAGCAAAACGTACAGCAAAACGTACAGACGTATTCCCCCCCCCCAAAAAAAAAAAAATGTATTAATACGTAAAAAACGTACTACTTGGCAGCTCTGCTAGCCCCTTAACACCAAGGCCTCGTTTCACAAAACTTGTCATCAGTGACAATTAACAGTTTTTGTTATAAGCTAGTGAAATCCTTGCTTCTGATTGGTTATCAGCAGATTTGTCACTGATTTTTGTCATTTGTCATTAAAAAAAGGCTTTGTCAAACAGGTCCCAGGCATTTCTTTGGCAACAGACTGTAATAAAAAAAGAAAAGATGTAGGTTGGGGTTGCTTTTTGGTTTTAGTTTACCTGTAGTATGAAGGTTGGGATGGGGTTTAGGTAAAGCATTTGGTCAAAATAAAGTAAGGGAGTGCATTGGAGCAGGAAATCGCAGTGTAGCAAATTTCCCAGAGGATTTGTATTGCATGTAAAACCATGATTATATTAGTTACAGTAATATTTTATATTTATAGTTATAGTTCTAATTATAGTTATAGTTACAACTGTAATTTAAGTTGTAATCATAGTAGTTGTAGTTTTAGTTGTAGTTGTAGTTTTAGTTGTAGTTGTAGTAATTTAAACTGGTAGTAAAACTTGTAGTTATAGTTGCTTGTAGTTTTAGTTGTAGTTATAGTAATAGTTATAGTTAAAGTTATAGTTATACAGTTGTGAAGAAGTTTTAGTACTGATTATACATGTAGTCAGAGTTATAATGATGGTTATAGTTATACAGTGAAGTTATAGTTATAGTTATAGCTATAGCTATAGTTATCTTGGTCAAGGCTGAGCGATTGCTCCTTTAAGTGGAGACAGAGTGCTCCATGTCAGGTTATTGGTTTGGGGATCAGCTCGAGCTGCTTTATCAGAGGCTCAAGATGATCTCTCACAATTGGATGTGACAAGCAGCCTGAGTAGCCTCCTAATGACTCATTCCTAGCGGGTTGATTTCATTAGACCCCTCACCCCAGACTTCCTCCCTCTTTGACGGGTCTGTTCTCATGGACGGAACCTTCAAGGTGCTTTCGTTTATCGATAGGTTTAAGCCCTTCCGTGCCACAGGCGACAAATTCTGCCCAAGAAAACTTGTTTCGGCTGGATACTATACCGGTACTGACTCTTCAACATTTTTTGTTGATATAGTGATGAGCGTCCATCACAGGAGGATACAGAAGGGTTTTATTTCTTTGCTTTGAAATATTTAGTTTCAACACTGCTTCGGTTCATGAAAAGTTAATTGACCTTAGTCAAATTGTATGGTGTAGAATCATCATTGAACCCTCTCTCCTCCCCCCCCCCAAAAAAAAAAAAAAAAATATGGTAAGTGGTTAGAAGTTTTAACGCTCAGGGGCCCCGATTCATAAAACTTGTTATCTAATACAACTGCTGAATTTTTATGACAAATTAGCTTTCAGCCAATCAGGTGCCATGATTTCAGTAGCTTATAACAGTAGCTTGTAACTAGTTATTGATAACAAGTTTTATGAAACAAGGCCCAGGACACCTCAAAGAGAGCTCTGATAAAAATTAAAAGAATAATCAAGAACGCTGCAGGTTCCATGTGTGCAATTTTCTCTACAGACCTGGGGTTTGTCATAGGCCAATCTAAGGAGAAGCACACATTATTCAGCCAATCACAAGCTTGCTACATTCGCTAGGCACCGTCCCACACGTAGAGCCAAAAGGGCATCAAGTCTGCGTTAGAATATACGAGTTAATGCCCTTCAGGCTCTCATCAGACAATATTAAAAGTGGAAGAACTGTGACCCTCAACTTCAAAAAAACTTCCCTCAGTAGACTCTGCCTGACCTCCTGTTCATAGTGATTCCTTTGATATCCTCCAGAGTTAATTGCTTTCCCTTGATATGTCAACTTTGATAGCAAGAAAATCAAGAAAGGCCTATACAAGTATGCAACACCTGTAATCATATTTTGTCATATGACCCAATTCATACTGACAAGCTGCGTAAACCACTTGTTTCTTTTTTGAGGCATCTGAAAGAGGTGATGACCTACTTTTTTGGTTATGTCAGAGATTGTTTGAGTAAATTAGAACCTCAAAATATGATTAGCTGCTTAAACCACTTGTTTCTTTTTTGAGGCATCTGAAAGAGGTGATGACCTACTTTTTTGGTTATGTCAGAGATTGTTTGAGTAAATTAGAGCCTCAAAATATGATTATAATTTTTTTATTTTTTTATTTTTAGCTTGTTAGAAGTTTTCAGAATTGTCCCCACTCTCCCCTTCCCCCTGTACTAAATCCTTCATGCACTCCTGAGGGGTGTTTCACAAAGCCTTTTTTCAATGACAAATTACGAAAAACAGTGACAAATCTGCTGATAACCAATCAGAAGCAAGGATTTCAGTAGCTTATAACAGAAACTGTCACCTGTCACTGATTACAAGTTTTGTGAAACGCCCCCCTGATTTAAATCCAGGGGTATCTCAGGTCCATATTTACCATCTGACACACTGCTAACGCTTTCATAACTTTTTAGCCAACCATTGCAGAGCCGACATTCCATGGTTTGTTGCAATACTGTGGGATTCAGCACCCTACACTATTCTAGATGCATCAGCAGAAAAAAATTCACTCTCCCCCTGTCCACACACAACATTTTCCGTGATTAGGCGTGATTAGGCGTGATTAGTTATTGAGTTTCAGTTCGAAACGATGCCCAAACCTGCGTTTCGTTAGACTAGTTTCGTTATACGACGTCTCGTTAGTGAGCGTCCACACATACAATTTCATCGTAAAACTATCGCGAAACGGTATCACTATCGCGAAACGGTATAGCTAATCACGCCTATTCACAGAAAATGTTGTGTGTGGACAAGGGTTCTGTGTCTATCTTCTGGCATTAAACACAAGTATTATGAAAAGGAATACATGAAAATTGTTGGATTGGCAAGATGTTGAAAATTAAAAAAAAAAAAAATCCTTTTAAAATTGCATTTTGAAACATTTTGATATGGTTGCTTTCCATGTATACGGTAGTCCTTCTAGATACACAACTTCTTATTTGAAATTTTGCCAATAAAGAAGAATGCTAATGTTGCCTATTTGAAAAATAAAATCTGACAAATCTTAGCCCATGAAAAAATAGGTTAAGTGACTGATGCACTTTGGGAAACGGAAGCTCTTGTCACCTCCAAGACCAATTTGCTGCCATGACAATATAATAAATTGCAATAAAAGAAAAATGCATACCAGTATGTTGCCAAAAGTAAGATCTTATATAGATTCGCCCTATTTAGAAATTTGTTTCCTGAAGAGTAAATAGAGGATGCATTTGTGGAAGCTCTTATCACCCTCAAAACCCTGGTTACTGCCATGACAATAAATAAAAACGCAATTAAAGAAGAATTCAAATGTCACCCATTTGAACAATAGCATCTGGGGAGTGTTTCACAAAGACTCAGATTGACTTTAAGTTAGACTTAATTATGGCAGGCCGTTCATGCCACTAGTTCCTCTAACCATTCCTGGCATTAGTTTCTGAAGGGACGTGCAAATCATGGTCACAAATCTACAGAATTCACCTTTTTTGATAGTTTATTATTGAAGGAAAAAATATTATCTAATGATCATAATTGAGAGACCAATAGTGAGAGCAACCAGTGGCATGAACAGCCTGCCAAAGTTAAGTCCAACTTAATAGTCGATCTTAGTCTTTGTGAAACACTCCCATGATGAATTTAGCTCTTTTAATAGAAATTCATGTCTTGAATGAGTAAAATGGTGGATGCACTTGTGGAAGCGCCTGTCACTGCCGAAACCTGTTGGTGACATAACAAGGTGTGTGGTCTGCATTGCTCCATATCCTCTATGTGCCAAGGACCGCTCTCGACCCGGGTGCCGGGGAGATCTCGTCCGTCATGTGCATCCTTTGCAAACTTCCCCTGCAAATTGGCACCGCCAAGGCTGTTCGCACTGCCAAAGCTTTAATTGTTTAGTTAAAGTCGGGGAGACGTTTTGTTTGGTGTGATTCTGAAATTAAACTTCAACATTGAAACAAGAAATGTACACAATAACACAATGATACATATTGAAAACAATTTGATTAGCATACAGAGAAAGAATTATGATAAGTCTGTGAATGAATGTCAATTAACTCTACATATCTGTGCACACCTTCTCTCTATCTCTCTCCATTTTTCTTCTTTTCCTTGTCTTTTTCAACCCAACAATACAAAAAATGCATCACATCAATGCATGTCCCCCCCCCATGTCTCTATCTCCCTCTCTCCCTCTCTCCCAAATCAAACTTGCATTATCTCTTACTCTTTCTCGCTCTCTTTCTTATCATTCCCTCTCATTCTCTTTTGATCATACTATCTATCTTTCTTACTCTCACTCTCCTTTGCTGCCAATCTCTCCGCCTTCATATACCCCTCACTCCCTCCCTTCCCTCTCTCTCCTCCCTCCCCCCCGTCCCTCCCATCCACCCCCTCTCTATCTCTCCCTCTTCCCTTCATCTCATTTATTATTTATTTATTTGAACATATTTCATTAGGATAACAAGATCAGAAAGGACTTGTTTACATTCTGGTCCTGAATATTAAAAGCTTACACTAACAAAAAATCAAAATACATTAATCATTATAAGGATTGTTAAAATACTCTTGAAGTCATGATAGAAAACTTAGCGACCACAATCTTGAGAAAAACCAAGTAGAAATGACATGATAGTTAATTAAATATATAAACACACAATAAGGCCAACAAAAAAACAAACATGTTTAGCGTCTTGTTTTTTTGAAAATAGGAAGGAGGAGAACCCCTTTTTTAATTTTTATTTCGAAATGACTGCTCAAAATGGCCACCAGGCACATTTTCCCTGACAGTCAGGCTATTTTTCAAGATGGCCGCCAACATTTTTTAAATATTTTTTTTTAAAATCAGAAGTGGATCCATTTTAGCAGTGTTTTTCATGTTTTTTTTCTTTAAAAATAAAATAAAAATGGGAGGCGGCCTCCCAAAAGGAAGCGGGTGGGGACGCTAAACATGTTTATTTTTTTTAATAAATGAAATCAAATAATCTATTTAAAATCTTTACAGTGATCCGGAAAGGAGAGACAGGCTTCATCTACTTCCGTCTCATGTCCAAGGTGATGAAGTGGGTCTGGGTCCAGGCCAAAGGGAGGGTCATGTACAAGAATGGCAAACCAGACTACTTGGTCTCCACCCACAGACCTATGAGGTAAGTTCCTTCCCCCCCATGGCCTACCGGGGGGTGTTTCACAAAGATCCTAAGTTGAACTTATCTCCAAGCTGGACTTAACAATTATGGAAAGCCGTGAGCATCTGTTAAAATGTTTTGTAAAAGTTATTATAAAAGGCATAAAATGTTGATTTAAATCATTAATATTTTCTATTATTAACATGGATTTCATGTTCTTGATGTGGAATTTATAAGAAGTCTAAAATACTTGAATTTCACTTTTGAATATATATTTTTTTGAGGCTACAAATGGCCCTCCATAATGTTTAAGTCTAACTTGGAGTAAAGTTCAACTTAGGATCTTTGTGGAACACCCCCCAGGCTTGTATCCCTTAGCCACACTGCCAATCCAACTCAAAACTAACTCCAAACCAACTTCAAGCAGTCTCCAAATGATCTCCAAACTTACCAATTCTTGGCCATGTGGGATAAAATAATATTTGTTGTGTGTGTTTTCCATCTGGCATCAGTCTTGATGGTGTGACAGGGGGGCATTTCACAAAACTTGTCATCAGTGTCAAATGACTATTTTTGTTATAAGCTACTAAAATCCTTGTTTCTCATTGGTTATTATCAGATTTGTCACTGATTTTTGTCATTGAAAAAAGACTTTGTAAAACGGGGGCCTGGTGTTAAGGGGCTAGGATGCCACTTCTTCCTATTACACCTAATTTCTGGCACAGATGCTTCTCTTGAATTTTGGGTATAGTACTTTAAAGTGTAATAGTAATTGAGTTTGTAGCCAGATTTTTCTCTAATCGTCTGACTTTTCACTACTGCAAAAAAGGACATTATTTTCAAGGTTTCCTCTGATTTCCAGGTTCCTCAAAAAGATAGTATAATGTACGGTAGTTAGTCTCTTACATACAGAACCTTTGGCTCTGAATTGTGTGCTGCAGTTTTCATAGTGGGATCAAATTAAACCATGTTCATACTTCTGTGGTACTGCTTATACGTGCACCTTATGATTCAAGTTTCCCAGAAAATCACCCTTTACTGCATGCATATACATGTATACTCCTTTTTGTAAAATTACTTATAATTGTCCCATATATTGATTTTTGTGTTTTGCAGTGATGAGGAGGGAGATCAGCATCTCATGAACCGCAGGAAGCCCTTCAGATGGCCATTCACAGGGAAAGCTGAGGTCTACGAGTGCAACCCACCCTACCCTCCAATACCACCAGGTAAACTTGAGTTTTATATTGGATTGGATTGGAATTAGTTAAGGAGAGAAAAGTCAAAAACTTTGGTCATGTTAAAAGGCACTATAAAGCCTCTTAAAGGATGTGTTGGAGGGAAGAGTGAAAGGAACTAGGGCAAGAGGGAGACCCAGAATCAACTGGGAAGAGAATGTCAAGAACTGGAGTGGACTAAAACTACAAGAGTGCACCAGAATGGCAGAAGATGGAGAGATGTTGCAATCAGCCTCTGAACCGAGAGAAGATACTTAGATAGAGATAGAGGAATGAAATAGGAAGAGTCACAAACAGAAAGAGCCATGATACGGGACATGTGTGGTGTGAAACTGTCTGATAGAATAAACACAAGGGAGTTCATGGAAAGGTTGGTTCTGAAGGAAATTGTGGTGAAGGTGGTAATAAGAGAAGTTGATTGAGTTGGCTGGGTCGTGTGTTGAGAAGGGAAGATGATGAACCTGTAAAAAGAGTGTGGGATCGGGAGGTGGATGGCATAAGAGGGCAAACAAGACTGAAGATTTCATTCAGAAGATATGGTGAGGAAAGAAAGCAGTAAGGTTAGTCTAAATGAAGAGTATGCTCAAGACAAGAAGAAGGGGAGGAGGGTGTGTCATCGTGGTGCAAAAGTCAGAAACCCCTCGTAAGAAGAAAAATGCTGACTTGAATAAATGAGGATGATGAGGATGATGGCGATCCATCCCTTGTGACTGTTCTGTGTCTATTTGAAACAGTAAAATGCTTCCCAAGTCTAACCTGAACCTTAAACCACACCCAATCCTAAATTTTACACTTGCTTTGGAGACAACCATCAAGATTCAAGTCATCCAGAATCTTAGTCCGATTGAATTATCTGTTAAAGGAATATTTGATGAAATTAAATCATGGGTGCCTTCCAAAATTGAATTTGTTTAGGAAGAGTTAAGAGAATAGAATAAATTATTAGCTGATCAATCAAAGGCTTTTAAGATTCAAGATTATCCATATATTTCACCTAAACTGTATGGTCTAATTTTTTTTTTTTTCAATTCAATTCAATTCAATTCAATTTCAATTTATTCTGCCAATCATTTGTATGGTCTAATTTTATATCTTTTGATGTGATCCAAAATGTAGTGTACAATGAATAATGTACTTGAATGTTCTCTCCCTCTTCTGTTTCCTTTTCCAGTCATACTGCATGCTCTTCAGAGAGGCGAGGTTCCCAGCTTTGGAGGAGGGCCACCTCCTGGAGTCTCCATGGGTGATATGCCACCAGGAATGGGCGGAATGCCACCGGGAATGCCTCCAGGAATGGGCGGAATGCCTCCGGGCATGGGCGGAATGCCACCAGGCATGCCTCCAGGAATGGGCGGAATGCCACCAGGAATGCCCCCAGGAATGGGCGGTATGCCACCAGGAATGCCTCCAGGAATGGGTGGTATGCCACCAGGAATGCCTCCAGGAATGCCCCCTGGTATGGGGGACTTCCCTCCAGGCGGCATGCCATTTGGAGACAACGGGCCACCACCATTTGGAATGAACAAGGAGTCCATGTTCAGTCCAAGGCCGGAGACAGGTGGAACGCCATCGTTCGAAGGGCCCACGCCAAGATACCAGTTCAAACGCTCCCCTGGGTACTCCCCGCCTAACTACTCCTGCGAGGGCATGGAGAGCAATGTCAATGATGGGGTTGGAGGTGTGTTTAAGCAGAAGGAATGGCCAACGATGAATGGTAACAGAAGCTTCTTGGAAAATGGAATCAAGGGGCACATCAGCCCCCAGGAGACCCTACCGCCAATGACAAGGGAATCCACAAGGACAGAGTTCTCCAGAAACTTGGGTGATGCATCCGTGAATATGTTGAGTGAGACGCAGAGCTGGTCATGCAGGCATGAGGCTATGAACAGCTCGCCTTCAAATCAAGGTACATCATTATCGCCTCAAGTGGGTCAGCACAAGTTGCAGCCACAGATACATCAGCAGCTTCAGCATCAGCAACAGATCTCTACACCTTCACAGAACCAAGGTCATGCCTTGGAAACATCCAACATGTGCTCCCCACGATCAACAAGTAGCAATGACAGTGGGTTTAGTGGTGTACACATGAATGGACAGATGCAGAACAATGGTATTGGACGTAACCAGTCATCAAGGAAAGTCGCTGTAGTGGGTCCATGCCAGGTCAGTCCTGGGATGCTACTTTCCCAGAGAGTCCAAGATGTCAGAGCTCCTACACTAAGCACAGGGAGCTTGGACAGTGGGGTTGACAACTTGCCCTTTGAGAATGGAGAGGATATCCCGACATTCGATGATGCCCTCTCCCTGTCACTGTTTGAGTTGGAGCAGCAAAGGGCTCTTGCAGAAACTATTTTGACGAGTGGCAATCTTGACACGCTTGCAGTGAACTCATGGACTCATAACAATGCACAAAATCAGGAATTCCACAATATGCCAAACCAGATTGGACCAAAAGCAGAAATGAACACTATGCAGTTTAACCCTCTGCCAGTACCTCCTAATGACTCCTGTAATGTCCTGAGATCACTACTGATTAACCCTCAGATGAAAGTGTCCTGTAAGCAGGAGGTGCAGAGTTCTTCATCTCCAGTCACGTCCATCACCCACCCAAACACGGTGGAGTGGAGGTCACCATCGTCCAAAGCCCCTGGTCCTCCCCAGAATTCAGTCCACCCTCAGTCAGGACAGCCAACCGGCATGACCCCTCCCCATTCAAAGAATATGTTAATGCAAAGTTCAGTTTCCTCACAGCAATCGCAGCATCAAGTGCATTCCTCCGGGGTATCTCATTCACAGCACCACTCCAAGCACAGCCAGCAGCCTAGCCACCAAACCCACCTGATGAAGACCCAAGCGAGTTGTAAGATGAGTGGTCAGAGACAGCAGCCTCCAGTCCAGTCTGTCAGCGATTCTCCAAGCTATCTTCCAGTGACCACCGCATCTACCGTTCAGATTCAGTCCAATCAACCAGAACGGCAACTGATGCAAGCACAGAGGCAACAGTCCCATCAACAACAGCGGCATCATCAACAACAGCAACAGCAACAACAACAACAACAACAACAACAACAGCAGCAGCAGCAGCAACAGCAGCAACAACAACAACAACAACAGCAACAGCAGCAGCAGCAGCAGCAGTCGATGCCCATCCAAAGGCTACAGAACCGGATGGAACATCCTGCTAAAACTGCCGGCATTTCTTCCCACAATCAGCAGCAGTCATATCAACAACAGATGCAGCAAAATCAGCAACAGCAGCAACAGCAACAGCAGCAACGACAGCAGCAGCAACAACAGCAGCAACAACAACAGCAGCAACAGCAGCACATACAGCAGCAAAAGGCATTACAAGCCCAGAGGAGGCAACAAAACCAGCAACAGCATCCTTCAAGATCTGCTGCTATTTCTCCCCAACATCAGCGGCAACAAGAGCAGTTGCTTCAACAACAACAACAACAACACCAACAACAACAACAACAACAACAACAACATTTGTACCAGCAACCGCAACAAATACATCATCAAAAACAACAAGTGCATCAGCACCAGCAACAACAGTCGCATCAACATCAACAAAGATTCCAGGAACAACCACAAGTGCATCAACACCAGCAGCAAGAACAACAGTTCAATCAACAACAACAGCAGCAACAACAACAACAACAACAGCAACAACAGAACTTTAACTACCAGACAACAAACTTGCCAGTGATGAAATGTGAAATGCAGACGAGGCACTCACATGCCATTCTGTCACATAATAACATTCAGTTGGACAGGAGGGGCTTCTCTGGCAACCCAGTGATGATGCATAATGGAGATGGAAGCATGGGGCTTGAGTTTAACCAGGTAAGAGCTAGTATTTAAAAACGCTTGTTGCCCAAATAATCATATGAGAGAAAAAAATCACATGCACAATTAACACAAACCAACTGAAGGCAGTTTTCTTTTTTTATGCCTCCGTTACGAAGTAGCCGGAGGCATTATGTTTTCGGGTTGTCCGTCCGTCCGTACGTCCCGTTCTCGTGATCGCGTTATCTGAAGAACCGATGGATGGATTCCTGCCAAACTTTGGTCATGTATGTATCTTGCAGTGCCGATGAACTGATTAGATTTTGGGGTCACGAGGTCAAAGGTCAAAGGTCACAGGGCTCATTATGTATGCAAAAACAGCTCGTGATCGCGTTATCTGAAGAACCGATTGATGGATTCCTGCCAAACTTAGGTCATGTATGTATCTTGCAGAGACGATGAACTGATTAGATTTTGGGGTCACGAGGTCAAAGGTCAAAGGTCACAGGGCTCATTATGTATGCTGAAACAGCTCGTGATCGCGTTATCTCAAGAACCGATTGATGGATTCCTGCCAAACTTAGGTCATGTATGTTACTTGCAGAGCCGATGAACTGATTAAATTTTGGGGTCATGAGGTCAAGGTCAAAGGTCATGCGGCTCATTATGCATGCAAAAATAGCTTGTGATCGCATTATCATTAGAACAGATTGATGGATTCCTCCCAAACTTAGATCATGTATGTATCTTGCAGAGCCAATGAACTGAGTAGATTCTTGGGTCATGAGGTCAAAGGTCAAAGGTCATGGGCTCATTATGTATGCAAAAATAGCTTGTGAACGCATTCTCATTAGAACTGACAGATGGATTACTATTTAACTCGGGACATCTTGCAGAGCCAATGAACTGAGTAGATGTTAGGGCCATGTGGTCAAAGATCAAAGGGTCATATATGTATATGAGAAATTGCTTGTAATCACAATATTCTGAGAACCTGTTAATGGATTACAATTGAACTTGAATTTGAACAATTTCTTCTGTTTTGGTTTGTAAAATTGCTCTATGACGGAGGCATCATTTCGACTGCGCGCAGTCAAAGTTCCATCTAGTTTCTTCTTTTTTCCCTTTTTTTTTTGGGGGGGGGGGCTGGGTACTTGCTCATTGATGGCAAGTGTGATGAGTAAACAAAAAAGTATCTGTATGCAACAAAGTTCTTTTGCGTACTCCCTTGTTTGTCCCTTTTTTTGTGATAAGATAAGAGGGTTGAAGCACATCACACTTATCTTGGACTGGGGCTTGACCACCCCATGTAGAAAAAAGCCTTCAGTGTCTTGTTTGCACACTTCCTCAAAAATATTATTGATGCAGAAAACAATTAAGCTGAAATAGACATCCTATCAAATCTACGCTTGTCACGAATAAATTTCGTGCCAGTAGAAAGCGTAGACCCCTTTATGCATAATTCGTTCCTATTTTCACGAAGTGACGGTAGTGAATGAAAATCGCATACAATTTGCGTGGGGATTTTCCTCACTGCTGTCACTTTGTGAAAACAGAAACGAATTGTTCAACGAAAAGAAACACGCATTTGAGAAATGAAAATTTCATTGTGGAGTAACATTATACTACTTGCCCTGCCTGAAAAAAATAAGGTGACTTATCATTAACATATTTAATATGTTAATGATAAGTCACCTTATTTTTTTCGGGCAGGGCAAGTAGTATAATGTTACTCCACATGCTTTTTTATGTGAGTTCATGTTTTCAAACAGATATTGTTTCAATTTTCTCTTCAATCCAGGACATGTCACTGTCGGGCGGCAGCAACCTTCACCCCACGACCCAGCCTGACTTTCTGCCCCCTGACCTGACCTCTGAGCTCCTATCCACAATGCTGCCCGTCATGAATGACCACCAAGTAGGGGACAAGCAGGGTTTCTTTGAGCTTCCAATGAATGGTATGGTCATGTGAACGTGGCGCTGTCATCCATAATGGCTTCCAGGTCCCGCTAAGGCATACCACCAACCAAACGTCCGAGATTAAAAGATGGCCATTGAACCGACTCCAAGGTTTCCCAGTTTGGATTCCAGAGGTGCCAGTTTTCTGCCTATTCCAAGATTTCAGGCCCTCTTTAAGCCAGGACTTGTTACTCCACCAGTGAATTTAACCTTTACCCCTAGACTTAGCCTGACCTATTGACCCTTGACATGACCTCAGAGCTTCTGTCCACCATGATGCCTGGCATAATCGCTCATCAAGAAGGGATGCTGAATTATTCTGAGTTTATCATTTTTTATTCACAGGATACCGTTTCTCTAGATATTGAATCCTAACTCCTCCCTGCGTTGGTGGCTCATAATAATACAACTTTTGTTGAGCTTTAACATGTCTGGGTCTCTTTTTAGGCTTAAATAGCATACAGATATTTTTCCCCCTAGAAAACTAGTGAGATACATTTACACTTATATTAAGTGTATTCACATCCAGGGCTAGTTCACAGTGTTTGGAACTACATGTTCTGGTACATGTTCCAGTATTGTGTTCACATCAAATTGTGGACCAGGCTGAGACGGACCAAGTCCGGCCTCGCTACCATTTGATCAGACCTGATGCAATTCTTTAAGATGGGACGGAGTCTTCGATGATGGTTAAATACGTGGATACTTTGGTAGTACCGATATATCAAACTTGCACTCTTTGTCTATAAAGTGACTTCAGTATCAAGCCAAAGATATAATGAATTTATGTGGGGACGAGACCAAGTCGCCCCTTGTTGTTTCTCCATGAATATTATGAAACCTTAGTCTTGCCTTTCTGTCGCCAAGTTGTTAGAAATATATTGAAAATACAGAGAGAGAGAGAGAGAGAGAGTGAGAGTGAATGAGTGAGTGAGAAAAGAAAAGGAGGAAGGGGGGGGGGGGGGAGAGGGAGATAAAGTGTTGGGGGTGGGGGGGGGGGGGGGAACAGAGAATGGGGGAAAGTGAGTGTGTGAGGCATCTTTTCAAAGTGAGTACATGTACATAGTTCATTCTAAGAAGAGGGAAAGAGAGCATGCTTATTGGGTAAACTTGTTTTGAAACGGCTTCCATTTCAATTATTATACAATGTCGCACTTTCGATGGACAACAGTGGTGTAGATGCAGAATATTCTATCTCTCCTGTGGTCTCTTGCAAGATTATGAACGGCATTTTTTAACAAGAGGCTCTTCTAGTAGTCGGGTCAGAGATATTCAGACTCCTATAAGCAGATTATTTCACTGTAGATGACATAATTATGATACAAGGCTGAATTTAAGTAATAAATTACTTTTATGTGTGAAGTTGCTTCTCTATGAGGGACAAGGGCTATGCAAATTCAATGTATTCTAAAGGACCATTTTTCATGTGTAGTAAATATGTGATATTTTATGTAGTGAAATGCATTTTCAGTAACATTCGGACAGGGATTGGTTTCTCTCGTTTTCCATTGCATATTTGAATCGTTGGCTTGGTTAATATACAGCAAACATTTGTTCTGATACTTGTAGTTTTATAGAGAAATACTTGCAAATTACATGTAGTTTTACAGGGAATACTTGCAAATCACTTGTAGTATTACTTGGAATACTAAGAAATCACTTGTAGATTTACTTGGAATACTTAGAAATCACTTGTAGATTTACTTGGAATACTAAGAAATCACTTGTAGATTTACTTGGAATACTAAGAAATCACTTGTAGATTTACTTGGAATACCAAGAAATCACTTGTAGATTTACTTGGAATACTAAGAAATCACTTGTAGATTTACTTGGAATACTAAGAAATCACTTGTAGATTTACTTGGAATACTAAGAAATCACTTGTAGATTTATTAGGAATACTTGCAAATCACCATGTAGATTTACTATGAATAAAACCACTTGTAGTTTTACTATGAATAATTACAAATCACTCGTAGTTTTACTATGAATAATTACAAATCACTTGTGGTTTTACAGGGAATACTTACAAACTATGTGTAGTTTTAACAGGGAATAATTACAAATTACTTGCAGGTTTCATAGAAAACTTGCAACTCACCCATAGTTTTACAGGCAATTATTGCAAATACAGTCAAACCTGCTTTAGTGACCACCTGTCTACAAAGACCACCTGTCTACAAAGGCCACATTTGTTGTTTCCCTTGAAAATGGTTTCTCATTGAATCATGTATTAAAGGAACCTGTCTACAAAGACCACCTGTCTACAAAGGCCACTTTTTGTGTTTCCCTTGGGTGGTCGCTATAGACAGGTTTGACTGTAACTTGTAGTTTTACTAGGAATACTTGAGAATCTTTCACACATCTCCAGAAACTTCAATTTCGATGTGTTATTGGCAGAAGGATTAATGTCTGAATCTTTGTTTATTAGCAGATTGTATCAGTTTTGTAACGAGAACATAAAGATATAAAACAGAGAAATTGAAACCAATAACTGTTAAATCAAGAGAAATGTGTTGAGATCATGTTATTACAGAAAACTTGGTAAGACTCACACATTCTAAAATCATGAAAACCTAAGCACTGATTAATTGAAATACTATAAAAGATTGTGTTAGCTTGGTCACTCTTGAAATAAACTGTTCATGCCTTAGATATCTATTGCTGAGATGCACGAATTAAGGTTAGAATGATATTTACATGTTCATGTATATAGTCCAGTTAGTAATGAAAGTGTGTCTTATAATCATGTGTCTCTGGCATGGAATTGAAATATCTGAAATCAACTGAAATAGAGTCAAAGAAATTGGAGCTTTATCCAAGTCATAGCTGATATAAATTTAATTTTTTATAAATTTGTAAATCACACAGTTGATTATAGAAATAATCTATATGGAAAGTTAAATTTTTAGTTCATGTAATTTGATTTAATTGAAAATGTTTTGAAATAAAAAGAATTAATATTTACATCTGTAATGTAAATTCATGTAACTGTATTTAGACAGTAAATTCATGCATTATTGAATTGGGTAGAAATTCTGAAAATAAGAAACGTCAGCGTAGCTACATTGCTTTGCGTTGTTTACATTGATAACAATTATTAGAGGAAGAACTTCCAAACGTCTTCAGTAATTTTCCTGATCAATCCAGTTTTACTCATTTTCATATTTTTGTTTATATTAGTAGAATTTAAAACATATTGAAATAGAAAACAAGCAAGAATTAATAGATTCTAAAATATTTGGGGAAATTGGTAACCTTGCTTTTCCTGTTTGGATAAAAGCAACTTTAACACAAACAAATGAAGTATAAATAGAAAAGATATCACTTAAGTGTGTTGAGAAATACTAATATTTGCTGTGTAAGAATCCAATAATTTACTATTCATTTATCTTAATTTTTCAGTCCTTTCATTGATCAAAGTGGGTGCTAGGCTTAATTGTTATTGTCTGGGCAATTTTACATGGAAAAATGTACACTTTTTATAGAAAAGTTTCATAGTCTAAACAACTCCTCTGTTTTAAAAACAAATGCCTTTAACAATGCAGAACACATTCTTTCAGTTTGGTTCAAATATAAAAAAAATCACTAGATATTTTTTGCAGGTTGTGACACCAACATCCTAATATTTGAGCCTTAACTGTGCAAGAAGTGATAAGAAACCATGGTCATTTTTCATACTTTCGTGTGATAAACAGTGAGAAGAGCCTTGTACAGGAACCATTTTTTGGTCTTACCCAGACATTAGCTGAAGGTTTCTTTTCATATTATAGCTTGCATCATTGTATTCTTTTGTTATCAATGCATGGATTGTGCTCCTGGGAATGGAATGGTATAAGTGTATCGCCCTGACCATGCAATTGTCATGTCAATCAGTTAGAAAACAATAATTACTGTCCTGGAAAAAAATTACAAAGATATTATATCGTTCTATTACCACATGAATTGCCTATCTTCTGTAATTAAAACTGTCACTTCTGGTCACATGCACTTGCAAATCACAAAAATTTATGAAAATGCATTGAATAATCATGATTATTATTCTATTCATACATGTATTTGATTCCCATTGTTTAATCAAGTTCAGAGTTGTTAGCATGTTACTTTTCCTCCATATATTATGTTACTCCATTGAGTGTGATTTTCTCATAATATTCAATCCTGCGCATGCGCAAGAGTATTTATTCACAAGCAGCGCTGGCTGCTGGCTTCCATTGCTTGCACCCACAGTAAATTTCACTGTTGATATATTTCATTGAATTTGTATGTATAATAACAATAATTTTGGCTCGCTTTTGTGGTATTGTATATCAGATATATGTTGCATTCAGCTAGCTTGAAAATCGCACTCTTCTTCAAACTTGTGCGATATTTCTGATATACCACTCATGGGCAGCCAATATTATGTAAATGTATGTTGCATGCATATGTATCAGCACAGTTTATCAGCAACATTTTATGAGACAAATACCACAACATGAGTAGTTGTCATTGCATGAATATGTAGTAACCAAGTTTTGAAAATGCAATATTGCACTGCGTTTGATCCGATGAAAGATGAAATCAATTTGAGTAAGAGGGGAACCTATTCTAACTTCCACATCAATGAATATTTACACATTTTCTTTGTCCAGCTAAGTTGCCATTAGTTTTTGTCTTTGCTCTGCTATTGTATTTTTATTTTTATTTTTGTGTTCTTGTTTTACCACTCAGTATTGCCTGCGTATGTATTTTGAAGAAAAACATGGACTGCAGTTGGATCCATAGCTTTATTTGCTTGGCTCAGTTAACTTTTCACGTTTTGTTCATTTTTATATATTTCCTTTTCTCAATGTTTATCAAAAAGATATTACAATTCCAGACTCCTGGATGAAAATTAGAAATCGTTATCTTGGACTCTTAAGACATGAATGACTTTTATTTTACATGTAAATATATATATATATATATATATGTATGTTTCCCACAAAGTGTGCATGGATGAAAAGCGAACTGTAAATAATGCTTGACATTTCTTAAGTTTCCTGGTCTCCATTGTAAATTTACACCTTTTCTTACCTTTTTTCATTGTATATACCTACTGAAAGTTATCGAGTCGATAGCGTACATAAGAACAAAGATAGAAAAAGAAAACTTTATATTATCATGTTTGCATGTATTGCATGCCTGCGTGTTGATATTGTATCAACAGTCTTTTTTTTCTTCTTCAATGATGAACTATTTTTGCAGTATTTTAAGATAAGTTAAATGTACGGTTGGAGCATTATATCGAATTCAAGTTATCGTGCTTGTAAATTAATGCTCCCCCAGAATCTGTTTGAATCATGGATATACACAGCCATGTGTGATACAAAATTATGAGTTGAGTTCCCTGTGCTTATTTTTTAGTGTATCTTAATAGACATCTAATAAAGGATGTGAGAGATTGATTGAGAAACTTTAGAAATACAGTATAGAGAGAAAAAAATGCATATGCATATGTGTGGGAGTGCGTTTGTGTGTGATTTTGTGTGTGTGTGTGTGTGTGTGTTTGTGTGTGAGAGAGAGAGAGATTGAAAAGCGGGTAACAGAAAGAAAGCGAAAAGTA